ACAGATTCAGACTAACACGGCTACCCCTCTGATACTTGTCAGTAGACAGGATACTGGACTAGATGGACCTTTGGTCTGACCCAATATGGCCGTTCTTATGTTCGTAATGCTAGGCCCAGGGCCTCGCTGTGCGGGTGTTGGCGTGCTGTGCAAGCCCCTTGTCTAGCAGTGCAAAGACCCTGCAAGCCAATTGGGTGCATCATCACTCCAAAGAAAGTGCCATCTAAGCTTCTTTTGCAGGAAGTTCGGCCACAATGGAACAGATCCCGGGAGTCAGTGAGGAGGTCTGTTGCAGAGGATTCCTCCTGAACATGTAGCCATGGTGGTGCGGGGGAGTTGTCTGTCTGTTACGGTGCATGGTTAGATCAGGGGCTGGTACTTACTCTGGATTCTGTAGATGTGAAACCAATGTTTGCTATCTACAGGCAGTGCCAGAGAGAAGCAATGAAAAGAAAGGGCCATGCTGATAGAAAGGAAGGCCTGGTGGATCATACAATATCAAGGTTGGAAGGGACCTCATGAGGTCATTTAGTCCAACCCCTTGCTTAAAGCAGGACCAATCCTCAGGCAGATTTTTGCCCCAGATTCCTAAGTGGCCCCCTCAAGGATTGAGCTCACACCATTGGGTTTAGTAGACCAATGCTGAAACCACTGAGCTATCCCACATAGGTCTAGAACTCAGCAGAGCTGTGTTGAATTCCTGGCTCTGCCACAGATTTGCTGAGTGACCTCAGGCAAGTCACTTTGTGTGTCTGTGCCTCAGTTCCACAACCTGGAAAACAGGGACAATAACCCTGCCTTTGTCTGTCTTATCTGGATAGGTTGTAAGCTCCTGGGGAAGGCCCACCACTCCCCATGGATCTGCACAGTGCCCAGCGCACCGCGGGCTTGACATGGCTGGGGCACTTAAGTGCTACTGCATCATAAGTAAACATGTAAAATTCAAATGGCTCTGACGGGTGGGATAGATCTCAGCAAGAACCTATTAGACATGTATTGTGCCTGGATCTCTCACAATGGGTCTCCAACTTGCCATCGGCGCTCTGATAGATGTAACGTCTTGCATGCACTGAGTTGTTTCAGTCCTTACAGGTCATTTAAGGCACCTCTTCTAAAGGGCATAAACCAGGCAGCGCGAAAACCTGATCTCGGTAGGAGACAAGGGCAGAGCTCTCTGTGAGCTGCGCTGGTTTTTATTTTTCTGCATTCGCTCTTGTAACCTGAGCTTGTTTGCCTGGAACTTCATTTACCTCCGCTGCATAATTAATACAGTCACACTGCACAAAACAGCCTGGGTTTCATGTTAATCAGCCCCCCAAATCCTGTCAGCTTGACTGACTCATTTAATAAAGCTTAAAGTGTAAGCAGCTTTATTGAAAGTGTGCCGTCCAAGCAATGGGTCAACTGGCCACCATCCCATCCAATGTGGAAAATCCCACATTTAATATGCATCATGGGGCTTGTGCAGTGGATTAGGGTGTTAATTGCTGCAAACATGGATCACATC